TTGTATTTCTCTTTATAACGAACCCCTATTCAACTGACCCCTCTATTAGGCGGACGCGGACACTAAAATAAATTGTATTTGGCTAATTTCTATTGTTTAAAACCTCTATTAAGCGGACACCGGACTGAATTCACTTTTTCTAGCGATTACCCGAATAATTGATGTCATTTTACTGGATATTCGCAAACGCCTCCCAAATTTGGTCAACTCTAGACGATTATGAAAAATTAGCCGATTAATTTGAGACAATCAGTAACGGACTCAAACATGTACCAGCATTCTTTCTTGGAATATGCACGTGTCCGAGATAGTAAAGAAAGCATCTAAACGCCTGTATTTTGTTATAGGCAATTCGCGATTAGGGAACTTAAAGAGACTGGTTCACGATAATGCGCATGCGCGCCGTTTGTCTCTTCAGAATAAATTTGTCGGGTCAACACTAAATTCGAAATCGCCATTACCGGTACAATCATTGAAAATCCGTCGTTTTATTCGGACATCCGTCGCTTTGGCTGGTCTAGTTATACTTCGGTAGTGGTAATTAACGTGTGGTTGTGTCGTTTGACTGGTTACGTTTTAAGAAGACGCAAGAAATAATGTTTTGATCATGGAGGTTCAGAAGAGCATCGAGGCCGTCCGGCAACAGGACGTTCTCAAGAGTTTTTGGAGATAGAGAAGCTTAGCCTATCGATCTGGTATGGTTCTAGGAGTAGTGTGTGGCTTACGAAAACAATACACGACACTTGGAAAGTGGTTAAAGGCATGAGTTCGTTCAACTTTGAATTGATTTTTGACTCTGACCTGTAGTTATACCGCAACAGGCCGCGCGATCTTCACCGATCTGGTACACTTAAAATGTTCCTTGTACCTTTGCTTTACCATCGTATATGTTTAAGAATTTATGTTTTTAAAATAAATTATTGCCTGAATATTCTGTTTATAATCTAGTTTCTTTATGTGTGATGTGTGCTACTCGATAACATTTGTTTTGCGGAACACTGACCCGATGCAACGCGAATGAATTTGTTCATTTGCTGATAAGCAATTGAAATTTATGCTCAATTAAGGATAATCTTTATACTCATACGTTGTGTGTTTTTGTCACCGGTCAGGCGCTATTTGTAGGTATTTCTGGGTTTATATAAGGCGAACTGAGAGAACAGTAATAAGATGTTTGTTTACAAATTTTGTTTGCCGATCGGTGACTGCTTTGTTAGCGTGGGTACGACCTCGTAAAAATACACGTTGGTAAATGTTTGTTTCAAAGCAGGACAGGGCTGTAAATCTTATTCTTATCGGCTGCAACATATATCTGAGGAGTAGCAAAGAATAAACTTGAATTATGCGGATAAATAAAATCAAACCAAATGCCCGGAAATACTCTCGCGTCGCGAACAATTAATTTGAATTTTGTAAATCTACTTGCGTGCATCTAACTCGCTTCCGATTGGTTGAAAAACAATCAGCTACTGTCAGAAATCACAGATGCGCATTATCGTGAACCAGTCCCTTTAAGAACCACGACGGAGTTCACGACGACGACGTATGTTGACTGGGAAAAGACTGGAACGAGAACGTCAGTTTCGGCGGGAAAAAGGAAACTTAAGATGCAGTCGGTCGGTAGGTCGACGACGACGACACTGAATGTAAACACAAATGTAAACTGTGATGTTCGTTCGCAACAAAGTTTTTCGCAATGGCGTCTTTTAGAGCAACGCAAGATCTTATTTTTTAAGCCGTGCGCCTAATTTCATGGACGATGGAGAATTTTTTGAGTTGTCTGACCTTTACGAGTGGAAAAACACCTGCTTTCCGAGTGCCTGTCAGAGTTTAGATTTGGAAAAGCGACATTCTGATGTGATAGCTGTTTTCCATATAAAGTTTATTTCCTCTATATTAAAGATACATGATTTGTCTCACCTAAATACGTACAAATAAATTTATCACTTACGACTTCGCTCGCTCGGCCTCCACAGCTGTTGTCATTCTTCGAAGCGGTAAAAACAATTCATTAGTCGAATTTTCAATCAACATCGCTTGTTAGGAGGAAAAAGGAACGATACCTGGATTCACGAGGATAAGAAAATGCAAAGGACTTCAAAAATCGCCTAAAACAGTGGATTTATACCTGCCAAGGCTTGTGGATTGCAGGACGACGTGATTCTACTTTGTTTGGCGTCGTCGACGAGACCAGGACGACGAAATTTACTGGTCGCGCTTGCGCAGTATTCCGTAACTCACTTCCGGTCGTCGTCGACAAACTCGTCGTCGTGGTTCTTAAGTTCCCTATTATTTCGAGAAGGCCGAACTGCTTACTAGGTTTTAAACAAGCTGTATAAATGAAGGTCTGTTTGCAATTACGCGATTCCTGTGTTTCACGCTTCGTTACCTCTGTCAGTACCTAATCGACGATTTGGCTTTCTTCATCATATGCCCCACCTAGCCTTACGAAAACGCTCTACCTTCGTTAGACCTAGAATTGCATTACTAGTGGTTCATCTTCGCCTGATAATACGTTGAATTCCCTAAGAATTCTGGGGAAGTTCTTATAGAATTTTTCAGAAATGCTCAAATCAATCTTTAGCCTGTGTACAGAGGGGGGGTCTGTACACAGGCTATCAATCTTCGGCTTCAAAAGGGTTTAGCGTTACTGACGTTACCGGTAAATAATAATCTACATACATGTAACTAACATTGCTTATTATATTCACGGCGTTACTCAAATATCATCAGACGCTTGCAGGCTACGCCTGAACATTAATTATTGGTTGATAAAGAACAACATAAGAATAACACCATCAAATTTACGCGAGAATGAAAGAGGCCGGTGACGTGACGATCATTCATACAAAACACCGAGGGTGAGCAAGGAATCCTGTAAAAACTAGAATTGCCATACAGGCGGGAGTATATAAATGTTTACTACCCTTCATTTGTTTCTCATATGGCGTATATTAAGCGTCTTAGTAACATGTTATGCATATAGAGGAAACATTGTACATAATACTCACAGGACTCTTGGAAGACCGCGTGCACCGCCTGAACCAGAATCTTTCAAAGTACATAGCAGTCGCTGAGAAATCATACTCATTTTTGATTCGTGATAAAAGCAGCATGTACGCGTTCAGACAATCCGCAGAGTTGAAGTGTACTTTTCTAAGATCGTAACAAAAGGTAAAATCAAGCGCATTTAAGCTCACTGCAACGGCCGGTTCAATAATTTGAAATGAGCAAAGGACAAAGGACGGTTTGTTTATCACGTGCATTTGTCACATCACCGCGGCGCGAAGTCGTGATTTCAGTCGCGCGTGACATCTCAGAAATAATAATTATGCCATGCATGTGCGGAATAGTCTGTGAGCAAAAGATAACCATATGTCGGAGTTCATTCAGATCTGATCGTTCTTTCTTGGTGCAATATATACGAGGTGAGATCTTAGCTTGGATAGTTTGTTTATTATGTAATTTCAAGGGCTTATTTTAGACAAACCTCTGTTGACCGCGTGCATCCGGTTCGCGGCCCGCGCCTTCGGTTTGTGAAAAATTTCTATATGAAATTAAAATTCGATTTTAAGAAGTTTCTTTTAAAGAAACTTATGGAATGTCCCATAACTGCATTAACTGTATCACGGCTAAAACCTACGCGGAGATTTTCGCAGAGAGCCATTTAGGGACGGATTGATCTTTTATCGGCACAGTGTCACAGTTACGTGTTGTCAGTCAAAGCTAAAATCTATTCCAAATTTTTTTCTCTTTTTTCAATTTCTTTTTGATTTGCTGGGAGATTTAATTTTTCGCTCAGCTTCGAACTTTTTTGAGAGAAGAATCCGGTCCACAATATATGACAGCTTGTTTTGAGTCATTTATGAGTTCGTGACACGATGAAGGCTTAAAAATTAACTTCGTCCAATTGTTACTTTTATAGTCTGACTATAAGTATCCCAAAATACATTACAATATTGCACCTCAATAATAATAATAATAAGTACCCTATTTTAAAGTATTTAAAATAAGGTCAGCATTTGATGTCTTTAAGCAAACTTTAAATAGTTTATGAATAATCTGTTTTTATAGTCAGAGTGTTGTGTGCCCAAAATACAATTCAAATAGACCTCGAAACAGTGTTTAAGTACCCTGTTGTAAAAGTATTTTAAATGCGGTCAGTACTTAAGGTCTTAAAACATATTTGAAATAGTCTATTTGAACTCTGTTTGTAAATTTGTGAGTGGATGCGTCTCAAAATACATTTTAGATACAACTCAAAACAGTGTTAAAGTACCCTATTTAAAAGTATTTAAAATGCATTGGCATTTAAGCCCTAAAACATATTTCAAATAGTCTATTTGAACCCTGTTTGTAACAGTGTTAGTGGTTCTATGCCCAAAGTACATTTTAAATACCCTATTTTAATCAAATTTATTAAACAAAATACATTGTAAATTGATGAGAGAGGTTTTCCTTTTGGTGAAATATAATTTAACTACACTTTAGATATAATTCAAACAGGGGCGAAAATTTAAATTTTTTTGTCAAATAGGATTAAAATACAGGGAAATAGTGTTCAAATACTGAAAATACATTTTTAATACTTTAAAATCAGTCTCAAAATACATATGGTTTGGTAAGAGGTGTTAGTCCCTTTTCGATGAATATCTTAGAGGATAGAGATCACCGTCTCCATCACTTACTGCCTGACTCGCATAGGTACACCCTAAGGAATGCCTGGACTTTTGATGTTAAGTTTAAAACTTGCAGGCCCAGTAATTATTTTTTATTAATTCTCAATGAACTTTTTAAAATAAAACTTTGTTCGTAGTCTATGCATTTTATGTATATGTAGATATTCTTTAGACATCTGTCAAGTTGATAAATATTCAAGTTTTATTCTTCTTACCGAACTTTAACTTTAATGGTGGACTGGGACGAGCAATGGCGACGTAAAGACGCTTATTGGGGCTGTCCGCAATTTCTTCTGATATCCGAGCTTCCCGTAACGGCAAATGGCCGAATTCATAACTGATCTACTAGGAAAAAGGAGAAACAGGATATCCACCAGTTCAGACGACTCAGCCTCTTCACCTGACAGCAAGAAATCTCGAAACTCCATCTCGACTGACGCAGAAATAGCCGAAGAAGACACAATCTTAACCGCGCTAGATATGACAGCAAACATGACAAAAAAGCTTGAAAAAATCCTTGAGCGTTTAAAAAAGCTCGACGTGATAGAATCTTCTGTTAAAAGCATCGAGACAAAGCTCAACTGCTTAGAAGAGCGTACAGCAGTATTGGAAAATTTCAGACAAACTACGGAGAAAGACATTAACGATCTTAAAGAAAATGGAAATTTCACGAGCTCACAGTTATCTGAAATATCGACTGAGCTTAAAAATCACCAAGTTGCAATCACTGATTTAACACAAAAGGCAGAGGCGAGTAAAGAGTTATTAAAGGAACTTACAGCAAAAATCTCTACCTAGAAGCTTACTCAAGAAGAGAGAACATCAGGTTTATGAACATAGAAGATGACTCCTCCGATGAACCCGAAGATGTCGAAGAAACCCTAAGAGATTTCTTAGAACGTAAACTGGGCTTCCACGACGTAAGAAGCGTGGAAATCCAAAGAGTTCATCGAAGTGGAAAAAGCAAGAATGGAAAGCCCCGGCCAATACTGGCCCGTTTTCTGAGATACAAGGATGTCCAGAAAATATTTTCACTCGGGCACCGATTAAGAGAAACCGACTTCCAAATGTTCCGCGACTATCCTGCAGAAATTGTCAGAAGACGCAAAGAGCAGATGAAGACCTTCAAAGAGGCCAGAAGAAACAACATTCCTGCATTCTTCAGTCTATCGAAACCAGATAAGTTATTTATTAGAGGTCGAGTGTGGCCTGTAGGAAAAAAACTGATCATTAATCCTGAGACTGTTTCATAATTGTATTACGGGGACAAATTTACTATTCTTTTTTTTTCTTGGGCTAGTCACCCCTTACAGATGCAAAGAGACCACCCAGCAAGAAAACATTTTAACTTTGTCCTTATGTTTTTTTTTTTTCGATTTTTTTTCTGTTTTGTTTTACTTTCAGTGCTTTGAAATATCTTTTTTTTAGACCTTTCTGTACTAAACCGACACTCTATATCTTATTTGCACAAATCAGAATAATCTCTCATGCTATTTTTCTTTGGGTGAAAAAGTTGTAAGTTTCTTCTTTTTTCACAGCGACAAAAGAAATGGAACTTACAATTGGTTCAATTAATGCTAGGGGATTAGGAGACAGAAGCAAGCGACGGGAATTCTTTAACTGCCTGCGGAAAAAAACAAATGGCCATGTATGTTATTCAAGAAGCTCATTGTACTGAAAATAATATGCATGACTGGCGAGCTGAATGGGGTTATCAGGCCTTTTCAGTTGCTGCTCTAGCAAAAAGGCAGGCGTTATATTGTTTAACAATACTTTCACCTTTCAAATTTCGAGAAAATATTGCGACCCTGGGGAACGCTATATAATCTGTGACTTGATTACAAATGGGAAACCTTGGCAAATATATATGCTCCAAACAACGACGACCCAACTTTTTTTACCTCGATCTTTGAGCGGTTAGCAGATTTTAAGTGCGATGAGGTCATAATTGGCGGGGACTATAATTTAGTTTTGGATGTTGAGAAAGATAAAAAAGGCGGCCTTGCAAAAACCCACAAAAAATCGTTGGAAGCCATAAATAGCTATTGCGAAGACTTAGACCTAATTGATGTCTGGAGAATACAAAACCCTGAACAACGACGATTTACATGGAGACAAAAGAACCCCGAAATACAATGCAGACTTGACTTTTTTCTCGTAAGTCAATGCACATCTTGCAACTCAATCAACACAGATATAGCCCCTGGTTATAAGAGAGATCATTCACTGGTCACGTTGCAAATTTCGACGCATAATAACATGAGAGGACGGGGCTTCTGAAAACTAAATACCTCATTCCTAAAAGACGAAGAATATATAAAGAAAATACAATCCATTATAATTCAAACTAAAGATGAATATGCACTGGATAATACTGTCACTCCAAACTTACTGTGGGAAATGATAAAAATGAAAATTAGGGAGACATCAATTGAGTTTGGCAGAATGAATAAGAGAAAAATGTTTCAAAAACAAGATGATATAGAAAAGACAATTAAAATCCTGGAGGAGCAGACCGCCAACATTGATGCCACTGACTACCAAAATGTATGGTCAGAGTTAGAAAAGAAAAGACGGGAACTTGAAACCATAATCGAATACCAGACAAAAAGGGCTATTTTAACCTCTAAATCGCGATGGTACAATGAAGGCGAAAAAAACACTAAGTACTTTCTAAACTTAGAGAAGAGACACTGCAAACAAGGAACAATTACCCAATTGAAAGTTGATGACAAAGACTTAATCCAATCCGACAGAGAAATCTTACTCGAGTGCGAGACCTTCTATAAAAATCTCTACAGTTCAAAAGTACAAGTTAACGATTACCCGGAAGTTTTCTTTCCACCTACACGAGAAGTATTGAGTGAAGAAAGAAAACAGCATTGTGAGGGTCTTTTAAGTTCTAAGGAGTGTTTGAAAGCATTAAACGGTATGGCCACTGAAAAAACACCTGGTACTGATGGCCTGCCGTGTGAATTTTATAAAGTTTTTTGGAAAGACATAGGCGAAACACTAACAGAGGCCCTAATTTTCTCTTACCAAACAGGAACTCGCTGTATCACAAAGGCGAGGAATTGTCAAGCTTATACCAAAGAAGGACGCAGATCCCAACTTGATTAAAAATTGGCGCCCATTGACACTATTAAACTGCGATTATAAGATTGCATCAAAGGCTATTGCAAATCGAATCAAAATAGTTTTACAGGAACTTACATCAGAAGATCAGTCAGGCTTCATTAAAAACAGATGTATCAGTGACAATATACGCACGTTAGATAGCGCTATTAAGTATGCAGAAAACAAAGGATTACCCGGTCTACTTCTTTTCCTCGATTTTGAAAAAGCTTTTGACACCCTAGAGTGGTCGTTCATAAACCAAACGTTACGGCACTTTGGGTTTGGCCCCTCACTGTTAAACTGGGTTGAACTATTTTACTGCAATACCGAAAGCTGTACACTAAACAATGGATAGGCAAGCAATATCTTTGAGTTAAGTCGAAGTGTTAGACAAGCCTGCCCCCTATCGTCTTATCTCTTCATAATGTCGGTAGAAATACTCGCTGAAGCTATTCGCAATAAGAAAGAAATAAAGGGCATCAAAATCTATAATACTGAAGTTAAAGTAAGTCAATATGTGGATGACACGACACTCATTTTAGATGGAACTGAAGAATCAGTAAGAGCGTCACTGTCACGGATAGAATCATTTGGGAACATATCTGGCCTAAGGCTGAACAATGAGAAAACAGAGGTCTCGTGGATAGGTTCTAAAAGAAACTGCAGCCTAAAACTCTGTCCGGAAAAAAAATTTAAATGGCAAATGGGAAAGGTCAAAGCACTAGTTGTGTGGCTCTCTACGGATCACCAGTTAACACTCTCTCTCAATTACAACGAGAAATTGGCAAAAATCCAAACTATCTTAGGATGCTGGAAATTTAGAAGACTTAGCTTAATAGGGGAAATAACAGTACTAAAAAGCATTGTAGCATCCCACCTGGTCTATATACTCACACCTTTGCAAACGAATCACCAAGCAATAAAAGAGATCAACAAGCTTTTTATTAAATTTCTTATGGAACGGCAAAAAGCATAAAATTAAACGCTCGATCATGATCAATGACTACCAATAAGAAGGACTAAAAATGATTGATATTGCCTCTTTTAACAAATCACTCAAGGCTACGTGGATTAAAAAATATCTAGATTCAGGAAACCGTGGCGAATGGAAAAACGTCTTCAATCTGGCGCTGGGAAAATACGGAAGAAGTCTTTTTTTCGAATTAGGAAATCTTAACAGGAAGGATACTGATAAGCTAAAGATAGAAGACCCTTTTATCAAAGAAATTGTAGAAATTTGATCCGACACTTTCTTCGAGAGGAAAATAGTGTCAAAAGACCATTTTCTATCGCTACCTCTGTTACAAAATTCATTAATAAGAATAAATAACGCATCAGTTTTCTGCAATAATTGGCTTACCAAGGGTATAACAAGAGTTAAACAACTAATGGATGAGAATTTTCTCAACTTTTTTTCCCTCGACCATTTTCAGAATAGATATAATATTCGAGTAAAACCCTTAATGTTTTTCGGAATCGTCTCAGCTGTGAAATCTCTGCAACGACAAATCCCGAGAACACATCAGCAGTATGAAAGTCCTTTTAACACATTTCTCAAAAGCCAAAAATCACCTAGAATTGCTTACAAGCAACTAATAGCAAATAAAAGTGAAAAAGCCATATCTTGTGTAGACAAATGGCATAAAGACATCCACTCTTCAACCGATAAAAATGTTGACTGGAGAAACGTCTTTCAAGCAGCGAACACTTGTACAACGAGCTCAAAACTAATTGATTTTAATTTCAGATTTTTACATAGACGTTTACCAACTAACAGCTATCTGCAAAAAATAGGAGTTAAAGAGGACGGAAAATGTACTTTTTGCCATGACGAGAAAGAGGTTTTGACGCATCTATTTTGGAAATGCCAAAAAACCAAAAATTTTTGGGATAATTTCTCGATATGGCTTCAGTCGTGCCAGATCCTTCAACCAGGCAGTTACTTAGATATGACTACCGCTTTGGGCCTAACGCCAGACAGCTCTTCCTTTAAGCTCCATATAAACTTCTGTTGTCTTATAGCTAAGAACTTTATCTGGATATGGAGATCAAAAGAATGTTACCCAATTCACAACAATTTCTTGTTTTATCTGAGACATATATACCAATTAGAAAATAACAGAAATAAGACACCGAGCAATACAAAAAAATGGAAACCTTTCTTTTCCTCGCTGAGCCTCGCTGGGTCTTGTCTCCTCACTCCAAAAACATAAATTAGTAATATCTGCACCTACCATGAATATTTATATTACTTTCACCACAAAGAAAGCAAAAAATATATATACATTATATAAAAATTAATTATAGATCATACTAAGAACAGTAATATGTGGAATTAGCACTGCTGTAATCTAGTTTAATATTTGTAAGTATTGCCGTGTAAGTGGGTAAATTCGCTATTTTTTTTTTTTTTTATTACTTTATCCATTCTGTGTAATTTTTTTTCTTTTCTGTGTGTGTTTCACTTGCAATAATAAAAAAAAGAAAAAAAGAAATTAAAAAAGAAAAAAAAAACTTTAATAGCACGGTTTAAGCCCAAGGAACGTCAGCCAACCCTCTTGTATAGTAGAAGGGGTTTGAATTTCCCTGTACGTCGAAGCACAGGAAAGCCAAACTTTATACATATTTTGTTTTGCTTTGAAGGGAAATCCACTACAATATAGAAATAAACTTCGATCATT